AAAACAAATAAAATTTTTTTGAAACAATACTTTCTGCATTAAAACAAATTTTATTTTTCAAAAAACTGTGCAAAAAATAAGATTAATTTATATTTTATTCATGTAAAAGAAAAAATATTTTCTACCATGTTAAAAATATTTTTTCCATCATATAAAAAATTCCATCATATAAAACACATTTTTTGGTGTATTAAAAAAAATTCCCCCCGTGTTAAAAATGTTTTCTTGCTCATGTTAAAAATAATATTCTGTCATGCTAAAAAAATCTTCCAGAGTTAAACAATTTTTTCTCCATAATTTTTCTTTTACATAATATTTTCCCCTCATGTAAAGGAAAAAGATATTTTTTCTCTTAGTCTAAAAAAAAAAGTTTCTCCCTCATGCAGAAATATTTTTTCCTTCATGTACAAGGTGAACAACATTTTCCTTCATATTAAAAAATATATATTTTTCTCTCTCTCAAGTTAAAATAATTAAATGTCCATCCAAAAAAATTACACTCCTCTGCCCCCCTCTCCCCATTCGCGTTCGGCCCCAGTCCCCCCTCTCTGCTCAGCCTCCCCCCTGCTTGCTCCATGGGTTTCCTCCTTGCACCTCTCTCCCTCCCCCCCCCCCCCGCTTGTTCCCCCAGCTGAGCTGCTGCTCGCGGGGAGGGGCAGAGCGCGAGCGGTGGTGGCCTCAGGGGAGAGGAGTGTGGAAGGAAGAGCCGGGGCAGGGGAGGAGGGACGCGGTGGTGGAGAGGAGACGAGACATTATAGAATAAGAGACTCAACTGTTTTCAGTGGATGGGGGATTGCATCTGCCTTGTGACCAATTTCTCACAAGAATGTGGCTACCTGGGTATTTGGTTCCTTCATGCCTGGGGATATAGAGTCTGGTACATAAAGCTGGCACCACCATGCTGCCTCAGTGGGACTTTTTGTTTTCTTGGTTCTGTGAGTGGGTATTATTGTTGTTAAAGTACCAGCCAGCCTTTATTTTACTGCCAGGATTAATGTCTAGTTGCAACAGCCACTCCTCTTGGCAGTTCTTATTTATTGCCTGAGGTGCGTATTGCTGTTGAAACAATGAACATAGGAAGCTCAAGCTTTGTTTGTGTGAAGAAGTGAAAATGAGATGACAGCTTTTGCAGTCTGATTCCAGCCATTTTCTTCCTGTCAGGGTGCAAATGCCAGCTGAGAGTGAGGCCTGACATCTTGTTTTCTTGTGTGAAGAAAGGAGGACAGAGATTTCTCAATTAGTTTTAACTGCTGCTTGCCATTATATGTTCCCCAGGATCAATGAGATGGGGGTGAGGCACTTGAAAAGGCCATTTTGCAGGATGCCTGCATATCAGCTATCAGGGTATCAAAAAATCTGTGACTGACATAACTTATTCCCAAATTTAGTGGTTTTAATTAGGTACTTTCTGCATGTCCAGTCTTCACAAACACAATCTGGCACACAGTGGAAAACATGCTCCATTTTCTTTAGAAAGAAATTGCAGAAAAGTGGAGTTTTCTTCAAATATCATTTGCTTGATTTCAGGGATTTGGCTGGAAGGGGGTGCGCACACGGTGAGTGGGGGGAGTGAGCAGGGAGGGGGAGGAAAGCGAGGAGGGAGACATGCATGGCGGGCAAGTGGACCAATTGGGGAGGGGGCAGGGCCTGGGCAGAGCCACAGGCAGAAGAGGCAAGGTGGGGAGCTAGCCTCCCCAAGTGAAAGCTTCACCCACTGCCCATGCATGGGAGTGAGGCCATGGGGATAATTGCTGATGAGTGAGATCACAAGGACAGTGCAGAGGAGAAACATGAGACCAGACTGCTGATTCAAGATTTGTTTGGCACTCTAGACCATGACCAGGAGACCCTGAAGGATTCAAACGTAGAGTTGTACAGAGACTAATCACAGATAAGTTGTATGTAAGAATGTTTAAGGGATTGGAGTAAAAGCAGTAGAAGAACACCAGCACCATAAATGTGCATGTGGTCAAAAATGATCTCTAAGAGTCCTGGAAAGGGTGGGAGGGAACTTCCTGAGGGATGCAGACTGCTCATTGGAGAAATTAGGAGGGGGGACTAAAGGAGAGTCACTAACATGGGTTCTCTCTTGACTACGGGGCATGGTGGGGGTTTGGAAACCTGTCAAAATTATATGGTGATGGAAGGTGTCGAGCCTATACTATTCACTCACTCCTGACCTCATCTCCATTCAAATTACCTCTCCCAAGCCCTCCTACTCACACACCTCTTTCCTGAAATCTGTCACCACCTGCTTCTCTCCAGTCCATCCTCACCTATTCAGCTTTTCTGTACCCAGTCACTTACCTTTCCTGACTTCAGTCCCCTCCACCTTTCCTGATCCTCCCCATCTCCTCCCTGACTTCTCTGACTTCTGTCCTTTCACCTTTCCTAAATCCCATTACTTCACATCTACCAATTCCCATTCCCCAATGAGAAGAAACTTCTGTCAAAGTTTCATGGTAACTATTTCTGTCTCCCCTCCCCTCCATGGAAAACTTCAGGAGTTCCCAGTCAGGTCTCAAGTCTCCAGTCATTACGTGTCTCTGGGTAAAGACCTTTGTCCCACTCCCTTCTGACAGGGGGTTTTAAGGCTTCACAGCTCCCTGCCTTACATTGTGATATCCCCAGCAAGTCAGTCTGCCTAAAAGTCAGTGTTTGTGCTTTGCTTTCTCTCTAAGGGCTATGAATAGTGTGGCTTTGTCTATACCTAAAACTTAAGTAGACCTTGCTACATCACTCAGGGGTGTGAATTTTTCATAACTACATACTACAGCAAAGGAAAAAACCTGTCCGTCGCTGCAGTGAGTATCTACACTAGATGTCACTGTGGCACAGCTGCAGCACCATAGCAGTAGCTGCTGTAGCATCTGTAATGTAGGTATAGTCTACATTGCAGTGGTTCCCAAACTGTGGGTCACAGTGGAGTAGTGCTATCAGCAGATGGGGTTGTGGCAGTCCTGAGTGTGCAGAGGATGCCATTTTACAAAATGAGATCCTCCACACAGCATGACATCACACACACCATATGTGTGAGGTCAAGCCACACAGAGGATGCTATTTTGCTCTACAAAATGGTGCCATCCATACAGTGTGACCTTGCATGCACCATACATGTGCGAGTTCATGCTGCAAAGAGGATGCCATTTTGCTTGACATCTTCTGTGTGATGTAACCTTGCACATATGGTGCATGCAAGGTCACATAGAATGGAGGATACCATTTTTAAATGGCATCCTCCATGCTATCTGGGATCATGGGAAACAATACATCTGAAGATCTGAAGATGGGGTCACGCAGGGAAAATGTTTCCAGCACTTATAGAGAAAACATACATAAAACAATAAAAGAACTTACATACATACTAAAAGCTTACCAGAGGTCATCCTCAGGGCTCTGGCGAAGGTCAGTCTATCAAGCTCCATAGCTGGGTTTGCCCCCTTGATTACAAGTTCATGTCAATTTTTAGATCAGGCACCAGAACCCCACTTGGACAGTTCAGCTGTTTCGTTATACAGGTTGGGCCTCTGATCACCAGTCTCCAGGAACAGGTAATCACCAGTTGATGGCCCTCTCCTCAGGGCGTAGCTTGAAAAAGCAGAATTTTTGCATAACTGTGGTAGTTGAATTTACATTAACCATTTCTAGCTAACACCTCTCGGAGAGGTGGGTTTGTTACAGCAACGGAAAAAATCCTCTTCTATTGCTGTAGTAAATATCTATACTAGACACTACAGTGGCACAGATGCTGCGCCGTGGCTGTGCCGCTGTAGCGCCTGAACCATAGACAAAGCCTGCATTGCCAGTAGTTACAAGTCACCACACAGCTCTTTCTAAGCAAGCACATTTATTGTTAAGGTAAAAAGCATTACAGAGAAAACATATTCAAAAGAATAAAAGTACCTGCATGCATATAAATAACTTATTAATGGTCACCCTAATTCCAATTTAGGGTTCTGGTAGGGGTCAGTCTCGCAAACCTTACAGATGGATTTGCCCCCTTGGTTACATGTTCATGTCAGTTTTTAGATCAGGCACTAGAACCCCAACTGGAAGGTTCAGCTGCTTCTTTATACAGCTTGGGCCTTTGATCTCCAGTCTCTGAGAATGGGCAATCACCAATTGATGGCCCACTCCTCAGGGCATAGTTTAAAAGGACTAGATTTTTGCATAACTGGTGTAGTGGAATTTACATTAACCACTCCCCAGGGATTCCTCAGGAAACCCACTTAACACTTATTGTTCCAAAAGCCCATGCTTGTTTCATGTGTTTAAATATATTCCTTATACTTCCCAGGTCTCATCTATGCCATAACTTCAGTGTAGGGTACTGGGACTGACACATAGTCTGTCAGTCAAGACCCAGAGTAGAATGTGATGTTTACTCTTTGAAAATAATACAGCAACTAAAATGGGGCCAGGCCATGAAATTCAAGTATGAGATCTGAATCCAAATGTCCTCAGTATTAGAGAAGGTTTGGATTCAGTCTTCCAATTTGAGCCCCTCTATAGCAGACAAGTTGTTTTACAAAAGCAACAGGTGCCCAGCTTCTCCTAGCCAACCCTTCTTGATATTTGTCTTTAAAATGTATCCATGTTGTGCTCACTAAGATGAACAGGGCAGGTTCTAGCTCAGACGAGTTCAGTGAAGCTCTTATCAGATCAGCTAAAGCAAGGAGGCTTCCAGGTTAGACCAGCTCAGCATACCTCTCCTGATTAATTAAATCCCAGCTAGTGCCTGACAGGGCCGGCTCTACTGTTTTTGCCGCCCCAAGCAGCGCACCGAATTGCCGCTGCGGACGGTGGGGGCAGTCAGTGTGCCGTTAGGGCGGCACGTGCGTTTCCGCGGTGGCGGCAATTCGGAGGCAGCTTCTGTCTTCAGCTGCCCGCGGCGGCCGCCTCCGGCTGAAAACAGAAGCTGCCGCCGAATTGCCGCCGCCGCAGAAACGCACGTGCCGCCCTAACGGCACACTGACTGCCCCCACTGTCTGCAGCAGCAATTCGGCGCGCTGCTTGGGGGGACAAAAACACACGGACTGCCGCCCCTTGCAGATTGCTGACCCAAGCACCTGCTTGGAATGCTGGTGCCTGGAGCCGGCCCTGGTGCTTGGCCACCAGTTAACAAGGACAACATCCTGCAGCATCAAATGAAGGGAAGGGAAAAAGACCACTGTCAAGATGTTCTCTTCTCTAATTCATACTCTGAAGTGCCAAAATTAAAAATGTTGCCCTTTCTCTCCAGTCTGACTCCAGGACCAGCTTTTACAGACCGAATAAAGGAAGAGTCAAGATGACAGGTATGGAATGGGGGGGTGAAACTTGTCGGGGACTCAGAACCCAGACGGCAAGGTTCGTTGTCTGACTGCAGAGAGATAGGCAACACCAGGAAGGTCCAGTGACAAGCTCTTTATTGGGGAGTGCACACAACAATAGAGAGCGGCCCGTCTCCAGAGAGAACCAGCCATGGTTTTAACAACTAGTAGGGTTATATAGACAGTTCCATTGTGTCATAGTTAAAACAACCTAACCCCCCTTTATTAGTTAGAAAGCTTCTAATATTTATGCATTTTTTTTGACACTACAAACAATTCGTGATGCCTCAGCAACTTCTTATCAGCTTTGTTGTCATGCACCAGAAACTAGGAGAAAGGAGGGAGTTAAGAACAGATGAAGAACAGAAACAGGGAGTGGAGACTGCAAGTCTTCATATGTCCAAACAAACTGTTCCTAGCACATTTGGTACAAGAATGCAGCTCCCCCCCCCTCTTATCTCGTTCTCTGCAGCTCAAGCAAGCATGTCCTCAGGTTTTACAGAGAGACAGGAATGGCCAAGCAACTACTGTTAGCCTAACTTTGGCTAAGCTGGCCAAACAACCTGTTCTATACTTCATTTTTTTGGGCCTAACAAACTGATGTCATAATCTCTCTCACTATAAAGAGAGCTAGAGGAGCAATTTTCTCTGGACTTGACGCAAGCAGACCAGAGCTGGAATAATACCAACACCATTGGGACAGGTACTAATTGTAAAATGGGCCAGATCCTCAGCTGGTATAAACTGACTTTCATGGTGCTATTCCACTTTGCATCAGCTGGCCAAATGAGAATTGTTTAGAAGTTTGAGCACAGAAGCCAGGAATTTCTGTTTCTAATGCTGCTGACTCACTGCATGACATTGAAAACAGTATGTCATTTAGGGCGAATTTGTCAAAAAACTGTCTTTAATTTTGGCTGTCATTTTTGACAAAGAATATTTTTATTTGAACCGTTTCAACCATCTCTACTTTAAGCATGCACTTAAATGCGGTCCAGAATAGGGATATTTTCATGAATCAGGGCCTTAAGTCCTTTTCCCTCAAATATCAGTTTGTTACTGTTTGATGCATTCCCGTCTCCTTGATAAAACATCTACACAGCTGTAACTCATCCACCAATTTGGGGCTTGTTCTCCTGTGCCTATGCACACCAGTACCTTTGCTATCTCCACATCTGTCAGTTTTTAAGTAATCTAGCAAATGTACACTCTAGGAATTTCTCTGTATGCTAGTAGTTGTGGATGATTCTGCTTACTGACAGGGATAAGATTCATCCAAACTAGGTACTCTAGCTGCTCTTTCCTCTCTCAGGGAAAAAGTATGGTGACAGTAGCTTTTCCCTGATTTCCAGACTGCCAACTATAAACCAGTACTCTTATCATTGCTTTTTCCAGGTGGCTGTATTTATGAGCAAGCATGAAACACAAAAAATAAACAGAAAGCCTGTGATATCAGCAATCAGCTGAATGAAGTACTGTATTTTTTTTTTTTTTTTTAGTATTGCTAAAATACTGAAGGGAAATGATGCAACATATTCCAAACAGAACTGCAAAAGGTTGATTTTGTGTTTCTAAAGGGAATTTTCTTATGGGGTGTCCACATAATAATCTCTACAACCCAGATCCCAATACTCCTCTGAGAGACCTGGGAGGATGTATTCAGGATCCATTCCTGAAGGTTGAGACCAAGCTATCTTGAGCCCGCTTTCGGGGTCCACACATGCTGGCCAGCAAGAATGGATCCTTCTTGTGCTCCACATCATAGAATGGACAAATCTTCAGGTGTTCAGACATGGAGGGAATGTCACTGAACTGCCAGTTGTTAACAGGGGAGAACAGGCTGCTAAACTGCCAGATCTAGTATGTGGGAATAAAGGAGAAAAGACTGGAACGTTAATTAAAATGCAAAGAGGTTTTACAAACACATATTATTACAATGGACTGTCATTACTCTTAATTGATTGGACTAACTAGTGGAGTCATGATAGCATAGGATTGGTGTAACAGTGGACAATCAGGTCTTATGTCTTTATATACACTGTCTTATAACATCTCTCTTTGTGTAAATACATACCTGTGTATCCCAAACAAAAAGTAAAGTAAGGTTGAGAGTGTACATGAATAACTTATAGGTAAAAAACAACAGATCAATGTTACGGTATAATTATTCCAAAACCAAGCATTATAAATCTAAGAACTTCAGAGTTAAAGTTATGTGTAACAGAAATCCAAATAGGTGAAGTATTAGCCAATACATATATGATAGTAGTAGTAGTATACACCATATTACTAGGTATTATACATAGGGCTCCATGTTTGTCACAGAGGCCACAGAAGTCACTGATTCTGTGACTTCCTGCGACCTCCAGGACTTCTGCAGTGGCTAGTGTGGCTGATCCCAGAGCCACCCAAGCAGCTGGCCCCAGGGACTGCCTGAGGAGCGGCCAGTGCAGCTGGCCCTGGAAACCGCCTGAGCAGCAGTCCTGGGGGTGCAGGGAGCAGCCGCAGCTCGGTGGATCCTGGCAGTGGTCCTGAGGCGGCCGGAGCAGAGTCACAACACAGCAGTATGGAAATTCTGGGACAGTGCTAAATTCTTAGCCGTCCATAGGAAGCACCAGAGAATGAATTGTAATTAAAAGCAGGTTCCTGCCTGCCTAAATTATAGTAGGGCCATTTTGGCCCCTGATCAGCTTAGAACTGGAAAGGAGGAAAGGTGGTTTAAAAGTTCACCCTCTTTCCCTGTATTTGTTAGTGAAGTGCTGGTGAAATGTGCCAGACTGACAACTCTGTAAACTTATGTCCTCTGTCAATAGTCCAAGAGCAGCAGAACAGCAGCAGTGTGAGGTCCCATCCCCAACCTTGCACTCCTTCACCAATCTCCCTCACTTCTCACCTGGAGGAGTGAGAGAGGAATTCCATTAATAGATTCACAGATTTTAAGTCCAAAAGGGACCACTGTGATCATCTATCAGAGGGGTAGCCGTGTTAGTCTGAATCTGTAAAAAGCAACAGAGGGTCCTGTGGCACCTTTAAGACTAACAGAAGTATTGGGAGCATAAGCTTTCGTGGGGAAGAACCTCACTTCTTCAGATGCAAGTAATGGAAATCTCCAGAGGCAGGTATAAATCAGTATGGAGATAACGAGGTTAGTTCAATCAGGGAGGGTGAGGTGCTCTGCTAGCAGTTGAGGTGTGAACACCAAGGGAAGAGAAACTGCTTCTGTAGTTGGATAGCCATTCAGACATGGAGGGAATGTCACTGAACTGCCAGTTGTTAACAGGGGAAAACAGGCTGCTAAACTGCCAGATCTAGTATGTGGGAATAAAGGAGAAAAGACTGGAACGTTAATTAAAATGCAAAGAGGTTTTACAAACACATATTATTACAATGGACTGTCATTACTCTTAATTGATTGGACTGACTAGTGGAGTCATGATAGCATAGGATTGGTGTAACAGTGGACAATCAGGTCCTATGTCTTTATATACACTGTCTTATAACATCTCTCTTTGTGTAAATACATACCTGTGTATCCCACACAAGGAAATAAAGAAACAAATCAACAGAGCCAGA